CCTGCAATAGAAGAGAGAGGTTTGCACTTCAAATGTCATGTCTGCGGGCTGTTCCATTTGTTTGAATGCTCTCCAAATGAAAAGCAATTTAAGAGCTCCGACTATTAGAGTAAAACCCTCACTACTGAAGTACAAACCAAATCTTAATTAAAAAAAATAATGATTGTACTCTGCACATACTCATTTTATTTACAACTGCCCAGGCCGGTTTCTTCTTCTCATTTTACCCTCCTGACTGTTTCCCACATATAAGAGACTTCGGACTCCCTCTGCTACTATTTGCAAAATGTCAACACGCCAGAGATGAAGTTAAAGCAGGTCCGTGTAAAGACGACACATCTATCACTTCATTACTGGCAGAAGATTAACTGGTTGACATTTCTCTCCAGTAGATTGGCACCATAGGAGCTGATCCAGACGATTCTCTGTCAACAAGCCCTGTCATACACACAGTGCATGATGGAGAATATAATTAAGCCAAAGAAATCTTCAAAATAACTCGTTGTAAAACATTGTATGTTGACTGTCGTTGACATTTGTGTTGCTGAAAATGCCATTTCAACTATAAATCAAAAAGTAAGAGCTCAAAGACACACGCCTGTGTGTGCTGAGGCATGTTCAACCATCCTGGCTCGTGGCCCCATGCCTCACCTGTTATAATGCTGTGCAAATACAGCCAGAACAATTAACAGTCTAATATGGAGAGCTAATGTTTGATCAATCCAAAGTGACTGTAGTGTGAGTCCAGTAAACAGAGCTGGAACAAGCAAGAGCAAACCTTAACACAGGGAAAGGTCACGGAATCAATAATTCATTTAAGATGCTCCCTGGGATTGACTCTGCAATCGCCTTGTAATCAGGAGGGGAGATTTATTTATCTTAACCAACTTTAAATCCACATTCCTAAGGCAGAAAAAACATTGTGCCACCCCCGGTCGATTTTCACTGCCCTCGCAAGGCCATGAGAATTTCTGTTTTATTTAGCCCCCAGGATCTGGCAGGGAGCTGCTCTTTAATAGTAATTCAACTGTGGACTAAGCATCTATTTGGGAAACTTTGTGGGTGAAAAGAAAAAAAAGGAAAGAAAATCCATGGGTAAAGACGAATCCAAGGATGGAATGCAGTCTTAGATGATTGTATTTGCAGTGAAGAATCACTTTGCTGTCTATGTTCACATTGTACACGTGCAAGTTCCTTCAATGCAACTGATTTCTTCTTTCTTTTCAAAGAGTGAAATCTACACATGGCATCGGCCATGTGTAGATTTCACTCTTTGGAAATAGGAGCTATTATTTGACAGACCAATGCTTACGTAGTCAACGGACATAATAAAATGTATCATATTCAAAACGTTAACACGCTTTTATCAAATGTGGGCTGCCCCCTGCCATCCACTCTGTAGAGACCACGTAAACCATCATCCTCTCCCTTGTCTTGATTTATGTGTTTATTACAAATGTGTCTGCAGGAAAAAAAACCCTCTTTGCAATGTATTCAAATGTCTATCATTTAGTAAGTGGGGCATTTTACATGTGCAGGGCTACGCACAGACACAGCCACCTCCTCCAGATTTAAATAATGCAGCCCTGCTGAGTGGAGGCATCCAGAGGCTATGTCATCTCAAATGATACAAACCTGTATGAAAGATTTACAAAGTCGCCAATCAAAGTCATGTCCAAGAGTGATGAGGAAACGAGATTTTACAAAACTCATTACCTTGAAATATGGAAGCTTTCTTGGAGTTTTGTCTTTGCAATTACTACTCCTCTTACCTGATGTGTAGATAATGGATGAGATTTTATATTCCAACTTTACTCTTCCATGTTAACCTAAAAAACTGATGTTGGTTGTGTTGCTACGGAATGATTCTTATGGTTGGCATGCCCAGAAATAGAGTCCTGCACAGGGTTGGATAACCTGCAAAAAAGTTAAATGATTGACTTTAAATCTAAATTCATAGACAATGGTAAAAATTTAATGAATGTGAACGGGCAGTGGGCAAACCTGAAGCATTGTTTTTTCGTTTTAGTAGAAGATAATAATGAAAATTATCTTGCAGAATTTTTTACATCTAAATAAGCTTATATAAAGCCTAGCCAGCAGAAATAATTGATTTTATTATGAAAGTCTATGTCTACATCTCCTTTCTTCTGCTACCAACACAAAGCTAGAGAGAACATCAAAATGGATCAAGTTGTGTGGATCTGAAGCAGGAACTGGACCCATCAGAGAAGAACTCAGAGTAAAATAACAGTCTTTAATGAGAGTAGTGGTATTTCACAGCTAAGGTCACATAATGTCTCTGGTGTATATGTCTTGTTTGGTGTGGCGTGACAGGACAGAAATGCATAGCTGTGTGTGTAACCCCGCTGGTTATTGCACTGACGACAGATGACTTTCAGGGCAGACAGGCAGGTATAGGAACCTGAAGAAGGCAGAGAATCAGCTGATTTGAAAACACACTGACAGGGAACAGAACTGAGCCAATACTGACGGCACTAACACGTGAATATTCTGGTGAAGAGTGGAGCGATGACCAGGGTTCTTATACTGCTGAATTAGTGGAGATGAGCTGCAGGTGGCCAGGGACCTGCCGAGAGAAACTACGCCCCAAACCTGCCGCACCAATCACACACACACACTCATTCATCCCAAACCTGCCGCACCAATCACACATCATTCAATCAAACACACAGAGAAGGGAGGGGCAACCACGGTGCAGACCATGACACACACAAATACCAAATGTCCAGTGGTGAATATACTCACGATGTAGCTTTTCGTGGCCACAAGCTAGGCAGGAGCACAGGTGATGGACAGATGCTTTTCCAAGAACACAACTCAACCACCAACACAGGACAAGGAGGCCATAACCCATTTGATTTGAGTGTTAGACAGGTCGCAGGTCATATATTAACAGGTCTGGGCCATTCAAGATTTGACTCGGAGAAAATAGCGGGTCAAGGTTTGGAGCGTGCCGATTCAGGTTTGCAAAGACGGATCCGTGCAGGCCTCAAAACATATAAGCGCTCACTGCCTTACAACTGCTAGAAGCCGACTTTTTGCTTGCTAACAGTTTTTGCTCCAGTGGTGTATGTCCCTCCATCCTGTGAAGCACAGACAGGTACGCCAGACAATCATTCAGTCCTAATGAAATGATTGGTCTTTATCACAGTCCTGTGGGGGCCACAGACAATGGCTTTTTTCCCTTTATGAATTGATGGTTATGGGGACGTGAAGAGGTTTTCAACAAATAAGATACAAAGTGTTACAAAAACAACTCACCAACCTTAAGTTTAATAAATAAATGACTTAAGAAAGCAGCATTGTGAAGTTTTGCCTCAACATGTCATTCAACTCCCTAGGAGACTAGAAACAAGTCTGACAGTTCGATGAGACAGCATAATGACCTCAACCAAAATATGCAGGTTCTGTTGACGGGATTTTTAGTCACTTCAAGTCTTGTTCAGCCTCTTCGCTCTACCAACTCTCTCTCCCCCAGCATGGAAATACCTGCCTATGATTAAGTAATGGAGTGCGTTGGTGCACCTAACAGAACAGTATGCTGTTCGCTCTAAATTTTTTGCCTCTGTTAAATTGGATTCCAGATGCAATTATCTGCCTAGGTAATTCATGACAGAGGAAAGGATGCGGAGTCATTTAAGAGTCCTTTTGGAATAATACTATATCTCTTGGAAGAGGTGAGGCCCGCGGAGAGCCAGGCAAAGCTTTCTACTCTGTCAGGAGAGGTGGGCATGAATGATTAGTGCTTTCCAATTAGCTCTAAGGAAAGAGTTTAAAATGATACTGCAAGCAAATGTCTGGCCTAGATCTGAGCAGTAATGAGTTCTCCGTGATTAGTCAAATCCATCACATATCCGCAAACTGTGTTAATTGTATAATGTTTGCCCAAAAACATCTTTTCCTTTTACTGTTTTTCTTTTTACTTATTTAAATTCAGGACAGGAAGCTTTTCCAGGGAAATCATGTTGTCGGCAGATGGATATCAAGACCAGACGGGTTATAACACTTGCTTTGCAGTAGAGTCCTTTGTCTGGCGGAGTACCAGTTTGATGTGTATAACGGCAAAATTTGTAATTTTCCCTCCTTAAGCCGCACAGTGTTCACAAATCAGAGGACTGTTCCTGATGTGGGGCTTCAGAAATGCTACAGTATGTTTCCATACAGGCTGCAAGTGGATTAATCCAGCTAAAGAGTAATTGCCCCTGGATTGTATTGACTGTATGCATGAGGGAATTCAAATCTGTTTTAAGTTTCAGCCCTCTAGGATTGGAGCCAGTGCTCGGAGACAAGCTAAGGTGTTTATGTGAGTTCATTTAATTTAGAGTAAGACTGAAATGGTCCTATTAATGGATTAAAGGGCTGCATGTAAATGTAATGGTGTGAATCTGCTGACTGCCGAGGAAATATCAGTGGGGCAAGAATAAACAACAGTCACTCTTAACAAATACTGTAAAAGTACACTTGAGCCAGGCATAGAATAGTCTAGTAGCTATCGGCTAATTGAGGTACTGAATATGAGTGGATCAAGATGTGACTGAGTGACGACCTCTTTTCTACAGGCTGGTGCTGTAAATAGGATTGTGTTATTTTTGCTAATTCTATAATATTTTTTTTAGCATCCTCTAAATATCCTCCTCATCCGCTACGTCAAATTCAGATAAAGGTACCTTTTAGTGGAGGATATTCACACAGGCTTAAACAGCCAACTACAGACAAAAAAGAATAGTAATGTTAAAAATAGGAGCTATTTTTATTATTTTCCCTGTCCACAAAAGTTGTACTCAGAGAAACCACTGTCCAAAACTGATTGCAAATAGTGAATATGGCGACAAACATCATACTGGGCAAAGGATCACACATTCTGCTCACAGTCATTCTTTCTCAGACAAAAGAGCAAAAGAGACACAAACTCAAACATCATTTTTATTCTCCAAATATACAGAGCAAAAGCATCATAGATTCACAGACCAGAACAGTTAAAATACAACCTTTTTTCAGATTTTTTTTTTCTTAGATACAGAGGGCCACCGCCTGAAAATAGCGGTTCACCGTTTAGAATTTACATGTTGTCTTTTCATCACTATAACTGTATGTTTATGGTTCATTATTTATACAAACTCTTCAAATGACCATGTGAGTTCAGTACTTTTTTATAGACCTGGTTCCTGTAGTATTTGCAAACTAGTTTGCATTACACAGAGCGATTCAACCAATCACAGAAGCAAACTCATTTGACTTTCAAATGCTTTTCAGTCTCTCTGTGGCTTTATTGTACACTGGACGCTGCAAAACCAAACCACACAAAGTCCCCGGTGTGCCCTTCAGGCTAAAGCAAACTCTGGGGGATGTTTGCAAATACTACTCAGTCCAGCCCTTACATTAGTATGTCATTAAAGTACTAACAAGGTTGATCGGTAGAAAAGAACAGAAGTGAGAGAGAAAGAGAGAAACAGAGTCATAGAAAGCATTTACACAGTAAAGAAAGAAGGGTTATTATGATCGATCCAGAGTTTCGAATGGCACCTTCACTCTCTTGCCATTACAAACACCTATCCTATACCTGACACTGCTCATAACCTCTGTGTCTCACCACATTACTGTCCTTTAATTGATTACGTCGCTGGACGAGAGACCTGCCTCCTCTGCTCTGGAAGGGTAGCTCTTGTTTTATCAGGAAAGGGCAGCAACCCCTTTTGTAATTTGTTGTGGGTGTTTGTGTTTATTCATCTGTTCTGCCCTGGCATCTGCCTGCTGGCCGGGCAAACAGGCGCCGCCAGCACCGGCCAGAGCGACCGTCCGCAGGTGAACAGGGCAGATTTCCGTCACCACATGGGCTTCGATTTCCAAAGACGGACATGGCACTCGCGTCCTATGGCGCTCTCACGCCCACTGTGGCTGCTGCTTTACTAGGGGGGGATCGGGACAGAAGGCTGGGGCTTATCAAATATTTATCTGTTTGCTGTTCAGAGTGCAGATTCTCTGGACTGGGAAAATGTATTATGTTTGGATCAGTGTGGGAGCGGATAAGGAAAATTGGAAACTTTGGACTGGAAGGCAAATTTGTTGTCTTTTTAGGGAGAGACATGTTGAATGTGTATGTTTGGTGTAAGTTTTGAATGGGGGGACATTTTTGACTTTGGATGCTGCGGATGTAAAATGATGCATAATATATGCAAATATAAATATAAATGAAAATTGTGTTTTCAGTAGCTACACAGTAATTGACTCCAGCCAATATCAGCCAGTAAGAATTTGGTCCTGCACTCATAAATCCTGAGGAAAATAAATGAAAAAACGGCTCAGGCATACTTGACAGACATCATGGTGCCAAATGTAATATATTGCTGGGCATCTGGGCATCTCTCAGAAGGGCTGAAGGTATAATAACCTCTTCCTGCATCTCACTTCAAAGCTGTCCTAGCTAAGCTCCCGCTTCTCATCCTATAGCCTCCTGTGTGCTCTGTGTGCAGAGTGCGAGTTTTCCCCTGTGAGATCTGGGCAAGGCGAGAAACTCCTCGCACAAGCTATTCATGTCATTTGCGAGAGACAAGCAAGAGAAAACAAACAGAAAGTGATTGTCAGCCTGTACAGTTTTGATGCCACGTGGATTTGTTTAGCCTCCGATGTGGCGAAATCTGACTGGGAAGAAAAGAAAAGCCAGGAAAAAAATTATATACAGAGAAAGACAGCATTGGAGATTTATATACAGTCTGCTAAGTGCTAAGCTGGATTATCAGCATTGAAACAGAGCTTTTTGTCTTAAGCTATACAATGGGCACCAATCCATTTGTAAAATTAGAGTCCAAACCACTGCCACTCAAGTGGAAAACCCCATTCAAATGCCTTGAATCTAATCGTATGTAAAGTGCTTACAACAACAACTTGCTTTTGTTAGAAATGTTTTGCTTGGTTTTTCTCGGGTTGGGAGTCAGATTTCATAGTTTCAGACTCGCTTTATCCCAACTGACTGTGGCACCATGGAGCATACTGAAAAAAACAACCTAATTAGATCATATATATCATATTATGCTTTGTATTCTGTTTTGGTTTGGTTTAGGAAAACAAAAGTGACATTGCCACCACGAGCCACTGTTTTACAGCTTTCTGCAGACATTTTCCAGGAACTTCAAAGACATGATTAAATGATAGCCGGGCGGATTCTATAAAGTGTGTTTGTGAGTGTGGGGGGGGGAAACAGACCTTGAAAACCTCAGACATATATGAGGCTTTTGGTGGCTGAAATCAAATGTGATGTGAGATGTTAGACTCGACGCTACTGTGGCTGTGACAGATATGATCTGTGTACTGTGAAGGGTTTGTCCTTATCAGTCAAAGTCTGCTTTAAGGCAGCTTAAGAAGACACCAGTGTTCTCTGATGGCAAATTGTGTTAGGTTTCCATCTGGTTTGGAGGCCTGAATTTAATTTGACACAATGTGATGTTTGGTAGCATCCAGGCCAAAATAAAGATGGAATACTTGACAGTGTCTGCACTATGCAAACTTCTGCAAAAAAACAAACAAACAAAAAAAAACGTTGCACAGTTGATGACCGGATCGCTTTGAGATTTTACGTAAAGTACGAGTTTGTGTTTCTGCATGATTAGTTACTACTCTGTCTCTAATGTCAGCTAAAACAAATACAACCTCCATGATTAAATAATACATTTCACATACAGTGACGAAGACAACAAAATGAACTGATGCACTTGGAATATGTCAGCGTTTCTCCATCAGCTCCACAGTAGCCAAAGATGAACAGCAGACAGCAACAAATGAAACAATTTCTCCAAATATGTTATGTCCCTCGATGACCAGCAGGGTCGCTGGTAGGAGCACAGTCAGCAGCTCGAGTGTCAACAATGTTATTGACAACAACAATGGGATAACAACACAATAAGGAGCTCGGCTCAAATATAATGTCCATATTTCATTTAACAGTTGACCCCCAAGTGTGCGGCTGATGATCTGCGGCGTTAGCTGAGGAGCTCATGCCTCAGAAGTTGGATTTAGCGCAGTTCACACCAACGTAGGACGCAGCTCCCCTTCGACAGAGGAGTCATGGCTGTATGTCTATCTCGTTTAGACACAGTTTGTATTGACACAGTTCAAACAGACCCTCAAGGCAAGGACGATATGAGGGAAGAAGAGGCGCTCGTGTCTCTTTTAGAGTCCTCCATGAGGGCAATCAGTCAGAAATTAGATGCTAAAAAAGAAATTGCAGTCAAATATGTACACTGATATTCTTTTTATCGCCGAGTGCCAAAGTGAAATAATGACTCAGTGATTTAAAATGAGATCTCGGCCCCGCTTTATCTCCTCGGCTCTGTGGCCCAGATACAGCTGCGGAGAGGAAAAAACAGCCGATCTTTTTCGGTGCTTGAGACGTCTGTGGGCACATGGAGAAAGTTTTTCTTCCACCTACACAGGAGACGAGTTTCAACAAGCTTAGCATACAGTGTTGAAAGGGAAGGTGGGGGTGAGGGAAGAGTTATCATTTTTTAACTAAAACCAAGTGCACATTCGTTTTTGTGCTTCAAACTGCAGGAGAGCAGCAGGACATTGGCTTGCACTCATTGTCTTGCCGGTCGTGCTGAGAGCTTCAACTCTCGTTACAGCAATCTCCGTTTTTCTTCAAAAGGCAACGGGAACTGATTGTCTCACAAAAGCCTCATATTCCTGCCCAACAATCCCACTGTCAAAACCAAGAAGTAAATGTTCAGACTCCGAGTCTGTGTGTTGGCAAATAACCTCTCTGTGGCACAATTCTGATTTTGTGTTTAAAAAAGGAGGTGGTTGATGAGTTAAGCATGATGAAAAAAATAAGGCTTCTTGATCCACTTTTGTGGGACATTGAGAAGTCTAGACAAGTTGCCCGGCGAGTTAAAGCCAGTCCCTTCGTCTCCAGGCATCCAGAGGAAACACACAGTAACACAGTTACCTTAGCAGCTCCTGGGAGCTAATTGTTTCACAGTTTTACAATCCAGACTTCTTGTCACAGCCTGGTGAAACACCCTTCCTCCCTGGTGGTCAGACATGGGTCTGCATGCGCTTCTGCAGGGGCCGCGTGAGGTCAGAGTTCTGCGAGGACGATTGGGAATAGTGGGAGGAGGAGGAGGCTGATGCCTTGCTGTCTTTGTCGAACTGCACATAGCCGTCCGGCTTACTGTAGCTGCTGACGCTGCTGTCACACTGTGTGTCGATGAAAGAGCTGGAGTCGCTGAGCGAGCCGCGCTGGAACTCCCGCTCGCAGAGTTCGATGGAGCTGCTGCCCATGCCCAGCACAAAGCGCTGGCTGTAGTCGTAAAGGCGGTTGGGACCTGCTCCCAGGGTGGAATAGATGTTGGTGAAGGACATGCCCGTCGGTACTCGCTGCTTGCCCAAGGTACCTGTGTTGGTGGGGTTCCTAACTTCCATGGACTGATTCCCTGCCATGGTAGGCGTGTGGGGCTCCTTGAAGGTATTAACGCTGTAGTAGCCGTTTGTAGGGTCCTATTCAAAACACAGGAAAGAAATACTATCAGTATTTTTATCTATGGAATCATTTCAGAAATTTCTGTCTGTCGATTTGCATGTGGTTCACATATCTCGAGTATTGTTCTACTCATCAGCTTCACACTTGGCATGTGTAATGTCCAAGGACGTGCTGTGATGAATTTGGTGCGATTTGGACTCACGATACGTTCAATAGTAATAAAGTTTGGATGAACAAACTCAGATTCATCAACACATGTTCTGGATCACAACAACGTCATGTCAACACAAGCTATCATGGCAACTGATCCTCCAGTTCGGGAATAAACAGGTGAACAGCTCTTTGTGCAGCAGCAGTGGCACAACTTCATGGTTCTCCTAACCCCAGGAGTCCTGCAGCAAGTCTTTACAATTACTGAGGGTCAATTTTACAGTTTCAGTCAGAAAGCTGCTCCCAGCATCAACACAGGACAAAAAAAACATTTCAAACAGGCAGGTTTAGAAAAGGCACTGCACTAGTTGTAGAAATTGGAGACTCTAAAGTGAGTATTGGCGTGAGTGGTTGTTTATATCTGTATGTTGGCCCTGTGATGGGCAGGTGACCTGTCCAAGGTGCACTCCACCTCTCGCCCAATGTCACTTGCGATTGGATCCAACTAACCACACGACCGTTAAAGGTAATGTCTAACAGATAACCAATGGATAGATGAATAGGTTATTTTTATAAATCTATATTATTGGAGTTATATGTAATAACAAAGTACAGTAGAAATAAATCAAACTATTTCTTTATTTCATATGCATTCTCGTGTATTCTCCTCAAAGTTCACCACAGCCAAGGTCAAACTAGCTGTAATTACCATTCAAATTGGTGAAGAAATAAGGAAACAGTTTGCTGCGCACATCATGAGAAAGACTGAAAACAGCAGTGGAGCTTAATGCTAGGATTTAGTCAGCACCCATACTAGCATTAAAATCATGTGTCCTGCTAATTAAGTGGGCCACAATGATTCATAATTTGGCATCCTACATGTCACTGCAAAGTTTACTCACATACCAGCTCTAATTGGACCTCAATGGATCGTACTGTCAGTAATTTCACTTATGCACAGAAATGGCCTCTGAGGCTACGACTGTGCCACTTGTGTGTTAGTCTGCAGGCACCACGCTGTTGCTAAGGGTTCAGATAGGGCATGCGTGGGTTTGTGTGTCTGTGAATGGACGTGAATGTCAAACTTGGTGAGCATGGTGGCAAATCGGAAAAGAAGAATGCTCATAATGAGGAAATGAGAGAGAGAACCTGAGAGGATCCTCGTTATGCTTGTCATTATCAGACAGAAAGGGAGGTTGTTTGTGTCTGGCCTTTATGTGTTTTTCAGTCCCCCCTCTGCTCTCGCCTCAAGCACGCCGTCATTAGCTGGGATCAAAAAAAAAAATTCAGCCAGAGGGATGCAGGGGTGCCGGTTCGAGCAGGCAAACACAACACAAGCACACTCCAGGGAGCCAACGCCAACACTTGTTCCGACAAGAGGACAAAAGAACAGGACATTTGTTTCCATGTCACTGATAAGCTCCAGCGTGCTGCAGAGTCTGAACTGACACCCACCTACAGTATGTCACCCTGCACATATAGGACCAGAATTGTGATATAATCTTTATTTTATAGATTAAATATGAATCCCAGAGTGAGAATTCATCTACAGTCTTGGCGACAACAACGTGGGTCAGAGGTGGAATAAACACCTGCTGAGAAAATCCTCTGTGTTTGATTTATTGATGCATTTACATGAAAAGCAACAAGGGATAACAAACACTTTTCCCCATGTATTTGAATAACTTGAGCAACAACTTACTTATAAATATTGTGTTTTTCTCTCGCATGAGTTTGGAATATGAGGGAATTGTTGCACGGAGGCTGTTTTAATGTATTATTGAAAGAAGTTACCTTTTTCAATTATACATCCAATTTAAGTATTTAGTAGCTGTGTGTAAAGGCGATTTTACCTCTTTTATTGACTCTTTCAAATGAAAAAACTGCAAATTAGTAATTTATTAACAAAGTTACTTCACTGCAGTGGCAGCAGCACACAGAGGAGAAGCCGACGACTTAACAACTCTACTAGAAGTTGGACGGACAGGAAGTGAGCGAGGGGCCTTGATAGAAGACTGTCAACAACTTGCCAAATCACACAGGGATCATTTATTGCAGGAATTACAAGCTGTAAAATGCTTTCATGTGAGAACTGGAAGCAAAGTGCCTCGTCTGCACCAGCCGATCCATTCATGGCTATGTAAATGGGTGGACGGCTATAAACAGCACTGAAGTCAGTTTTTATTGCGTTCATAGAACATTGGCGTCACTGAATAAGACTCACTTGGATGGATCTGACCACAGCAGCGTTTTATTTTTTTTTATATGTTCAGAACCAGCCTGCATAACTCCCGCAGCATGACCATTGCAGGAGTATTGATATCCCAGGATGTAGACACACACCGCAGCGTAGACGCCATCGATCAGACACTGGTGGAGTACCCTGGGTCAGACTCATTTATCATGTTTCTATATATATCAGAATTGTCTCTTGCTACCTGCCACCACAAGTTTCAAAACGTCTTGTTATAATTTGAAATTGCACCGTGACTCACACTCTGCAGTCTGTTTGACATGCTGATGTCGACACCGCCTGTTTAGTGGTGATGTGATTAAAATGAATACTTTCACTGCACAATGATTAGATCACTGTTCTAGGTCTTGTTTTAATTCTGGTTGAACAGATAGATGAAAACAGGCTGAACTGAGGGATTAGTTTGAAAGTTTGGAATATGTTGAGTACTATCAACTACTGATGATTACATACAAAGTACTTTTTTGTTAAAGTATATACTGAAACAATAGAGGAACACATGGAAATTGTTTGCATTTGCTCTGTTCCAACAACTGGAATGTCTCAGGACTAGAACTGCATTTGCACAAAAAATATTATTGTATTGTTTCAATACACTAAAGGTTCTTTCACTGAGTAGAACAAACAGATGAAACATGTAAATCAAAGGTGATGAAGCGGTGAAGCATAGATGTGCATGTTTTTTTTCGATGTACCTTTCTACAGCTGCTAACCAGTCTTTAACACTGTCGTAATTTATATATGACAGAAGTTCATTTTTTTCAATGTTAAGTTTGACACTTAAATGACACTTAAATGAAGTACATTTTTATTGTAACAGTACATTTACTGTTTTTTGTAGGTTGATATCAATGTAATTGATATATATATATATATATAATGTTGTTTCATAACGATCACAGGCCACTGAGTTGTCTTAAATTGAAACGTATTGTGGCAGATTTTGTAATATTGGAAAATATTGTATTGAGATTTTTCGCCATAATTATAATAAAGCTGTATGAATTACATATAACAGGGACACGAAATAAAGAAAGTCACATATTACATCATTTAAGTCAAACATGTGTATAAAGGTTTATGTGTAGGTCTCAATGGCTCTGATGTGTCACAGAACCCCTTTCTGCTCCTCTTTTCAAAAGGTGAGTTTATTCCAAATTGTGAGCGATTAGAAATGCTGCAGAAAGAGCTGAATCAGCACATCTCATAAATCCCCAGCACTTCTCCTCATCGTCCTACATAGCCCACTCTCCATCTATATGGTAAAGGTAATAACTTACATACGAGCTTCAGGGGCCAACCAGCCTCTGATTTCTTGAACCACTGTTGATGAGAGACTAATTAATAAAATCAGACCTCTAACAGGAGTCATTTCGCCTGTGGACTTCTCCTCAGAAGAAGTGTAGCAGAAGAGGGATTAATGTTTTTTTTTCCTGCTATTTTGGTCCCAGAGTTAAAGACCACCCTCTGCCCCAAAGGCTCCCTCTGTCTCTCTCTCTCTCCATCTTTTGCTCTCCCGCATTCACGCCTTCATGTTGACGTTGTTTTATGATTCATACCTTAATGTGCTGGTACTCCTTCTCCTCCTCTTGTAATACCTCCAGCTGCTTCAGAACAGACTCCTGCTGGAATTCTCCTCGCTCAACCTGCATAGAAAGCAAGCAGAGTGTACTGAGAGTCTGTGTAGCTTCTCCCCCACTTGGAATAAAAAAAACACACTGAAGAATTTTATTTTCATCATTTGTTCCTATTTTTTAATATCACTCAGATGATGTTTCACCTTCATTTAAGGCTGGCAGGGAACATTAATAATGCAACCATACATATCTTTTATTTATCTTTACAAAATGTAGATTTGCGAGGTAGCGAAGCTCATTTCCCTGCGATAACACGTCTAGTATTGACTGCATTAAGTGTTTTTGAAAGAAGATGTAATCCAAAACCTCAAACTACAAATAACCTGGCCCTGGAGCAAACTGCAAAAATACTAAAACACTGGTGCGGCTCCAGAGACGAAACTGTTCTTTATGTGGCATTTATATACAGAAGTACACCCACTGTAGGATTACTCTGTATTCATCAGGATCTCCATAGTTACAATGCATTGTGGTCTGGCATCATATTGGTAAATATAACCCATGTGCTTTGACTCCAGCACATATACAATCAACATGCCTTTCTTTTTCTTCCGTTAGTCATAAAATGATGTATTCTACATAGAACAGCAGAAGCAAATAATAAAGTGCATTCATTATATTACTGTCAGCTTAAGAAGCAAATGCAAAACATATCAAACTGGAATTACCGCCTCGCTGTTCGATGCCTCCGCCAGCCGGTCAAGGTGCAGTTTACATGTCTGCCAAAACTTGTATAATATATGTGGTGAAGAAATTTAAATTAAGGTCTTCAGTTTATTTTGTATTTGTTGATGTGTGCATGTTTTGTGAAGTCACATTGACCTCTCACCTCCTAAATCAGATCAGTTTATCCTTAAATGAACAGTAGGACCAAATTTGTTTGTTTGAGTTGTCGCACTCACATGGACGGACATATCACCTCCAGCTTCAGCCGAGGCATCAAACAAGCTCATATTATATTTCTCAGAACAGGAACAAGAAGTGTAAAGTAGTATGCTGTGACACTCACACTCACCATCAGTTGTTTCATGGAGGTGTGCTCGTCGTTCTCTCGCGCCGCGTTGTGGTCCTTGTGCACGATCTCCACACGGATGTCATTCTTTGCCGAGACGACTCCTTTCAGATCTGGCACAAACAGACGACACACATGACTCAATTATCCGGATAAACACCATCCTGTATTTGTTGACATTATAATTTCCCCCCAGTGCAATTTCCAGCCTTTATAGAATTTAGCAAAGATCCCCATTTTTTATTTTTTTTGCAAAGCTCCCCACTTCCCACCGAAAAACAATACAAGGCATTTTTAATCATTTGTCTCCTGCCAACACAAGATTATCGTTTTCCGCATACATATGCAATCTCTACACAGCCTTCCGCACGGTGGCTCATTCTGTTGGGGACAATGCTGATGATACTGTCATATAACAAAGTCTTACTTTCTGTCTTAATTTTGCTTGCAAGTTCTCTCTGGTGAGCACAGATGGAGACGGGCAGTGAGGGCATAACCAGGTGCGCTTCCTCTGTAGTATACAGACAATAGACATGCTGAGGGGACCAGTAGCACAGTTTGATTCTTGGCAAGAGACAGTGGACTGTCTCTAACCAGAGTCACTTGGTACATAGGTGGGTGAGTGAACATGGTGCAGGTTGTAAATAGCCTCAAAAGCGAATGCATCCAGACTGAGATTGCATGAAATGAACCCTTATCACAATCTCTGTTCCACAAAAAGATGTCCATCTCAACAAGGCGTTTAATCTTGTATTAAGTTTGACATTATGTTCCAGCAATTTATCTTGTGACAGGAATTTCTCACAGCAGCTGTCAGTGTCTATTTTTTTTAATATCTTTTTTTAAAGCTGATGCACAAAGCCAAGATTACTCAACTTTACAAGCCGATCTTTCCCCATTTGTGTTTAGTAAAAACAATATCTACAGCTGAGTGGATGGACATGTTTTGGTGTGCTTGGGGACCATACAGTACTCTGGCATACATGCTTGAGTGGGTGTGAAAGGGCAGAGGAAACGTACTTCTCTGGGAGCGGGTGCAACAGAATGCTCCAATGGTGCCCATGAGGACAATAAGGGCCACGAACGCTCCCACGGCAATGCCGATGATCACCGCCACCGGGAGGGATTCTGTAGGGAGCAACAAACAGACACGTTCTCCTATGATAACATACCACAAACATCTCAAAAACACATTAGGTTCAATATCGGGTAAACGACAAATAGTGCAAAGCACTATGCAGAGGCCACCTTTCTCTTTCACACTGCCACATGCACCTCATCTCTTTTCTGTCTCTGCAGCAAAAAGGAAAGGGAAGGAAAACATGCTATTTTTTATCCCTGTAAGTTCATTTCACATTATCCCTCAGGCACAAGCTCATGTATTAAAAAAATACACAGGCACAGTGCCACAGGAAAAAAATGTTCTGTAAGGTGCGTCCAAACAACTGGAATAACTGGAAATTCAATTTAATAAAAACTAATTACCAAATCTTTTGTTGCCAGCGCCGGATAAACATTGTCCCACTAATATCGTCTCATTATCCTTCTGTCTAATAACTTTTAATTTACACTCATTTGGGCAAATAGCAGCCTTTCACTGAGGGCTTTTATTTTCAGCGAGTGGAGTGCAAGAGTGTGTGCATCCGTTTAAATGTAATCATGTTTCTGCGATGGATATTACGGTGTGTGTCTGCGACCAGCATGAGATTAAACCTGCAGGCTCACACATCAATATACTGCTGCAACATTAAAAGTCCTCATTAAAGTGTGGTTTAATGAGGACCTGGGTTACCAGCCCACATTTATGACCTTCTCGCATTTTTAACAAATGCAAAACAACCAAGTGCTCTTCCTACGCCATTTAAGCCTATTTAATGTCTCCATTGATCAATGTCACTTTCACATAAGCAGCTTATAATTTATCATTTGTGATAAGTGGATAGAAAAACAGCCTTCCCCCACAGTAGGAGGGAAAAGGTGAACAGATAAAAAGTATTCATTTTGAAGCAAAATACACGTTACATTTCTCTGGTATGTAAAGGAATCAGCAGGCTCAGTGCACTTCATGTTCAGACAGCACTGTGTGTCTGTGGTCAGCAGTTGAAATTACCAGGGAGCCGCATTTTATCCCAAAAACTAATTTATAAGCAATTTATTGTGCGTCCTCATCACATTTACTGTACATCAAACGCTTCAGAATGTAGGCCATGCACTGTAGCTATGTATCAACATGCAAGTCTAAATTGGTAAAATGCATTTTTTGAACTTACTTCTGAACGTTTGTGTTTATGCATATATAAATCAAAGTTTGTTTAACATCAAAAACATTCACTTAAAATGGGGCCAAAAGATATGTCAAGATAATTTTTTCAGTCAGTATCGATAATACTCACTGTTAATGTCACATTATTACGTGAGGTTTTAAATTCGTCTTTATGAGCAGAGAAGGACACTAGCAATAAACATGAGCAACATATTTAACAAATCTGAAGTCAATAAACTTTGAGTTATATTATAGTGCTAGCACAATGCATTGAAATTTTGTTTTATTGCGATTGATGAAAAATTATTATTGCGCTAATTAGCTATATCATTTTATTGCCCAGCCCTGATTGAACATTTGCTGCTCATTCATGTGGATGTTTCTTGTTAAAATTCATGGATTACTAATTATTAATCAAATCCTATCCCACTTAATTACATACACAAGTACATTCACCCACAAACACAGTGACACGAGCGGACAATATATCATAGACATGTGAGCAAACACCAGAGCTGTGGACCATCTGTCTGAAAACCACTGTCAGGTGATTTGAAGAAGAGGAAGGTGGAACCTGTCGAACCTTGGCTCCCACCTTGTTCCTTAAGGCGTATGATCTCGGTGTCAGAGCCAAAGCTGTTCCACGCCGTGCAGTTGTAGATGGTCTGGAAGTCAGCTGGGACAATGTTGCTCATGGTCAGTGTGGAGATCACTCCTTCTTCTGTGGTGACCGTTTCTACCGTGTAGCGGCCGGATGTTCCAGACTCCAACACGGTTTCCTTCCATGACCAAGCCTGAGAAAAGACAGATGGCAAAGAGGTGGTATTTACCGGGTGATGTTATGACCACTAGAGGTGCTGTGGAGGAACTGTTAGATAAGTGGGTCCCTGTTTTGTCCCTGTGTTTTTATGTCCTACCAATAAATGTCCAAGGACAACACATGCAAATGCATAAACACAGGGGGTTTGTTTGTGACTATAAAGAGGAAACGACTGAATGTCTGTGCAAAGATTAAGCTTTCAACTCATTTCATAACAGCCATGGCAGGTTTTTGGCCATCTAACCAGTTTAGTTGTGCAGGCAGGGTGGCTGTGGTTCGATCCCCGTCTCCTCCATTCCACATGCAGAAAGTGTCTTGACGCCCAAATTGCCACTAACAGCTGTGCCAGCAGTGTGTGAGTGATGAGTGACAGAGAAAGTGCTGCACATTGCTGTACTGTATGAATGTGTGTGTGGAGGGGTGAATGGCAAAGCTGTACTTTAAAGAGCTTTAAGTGGTCATCAAGACAAGAAAAGTGCTGCATAAACACAGAGCATTTACCATTCACCACTGACAGCATTATCGTTTGCTCAGTCCGTCCACCACTTCGGTCCAGACTAAAATATCTCACCGATTATTCGACGGTGTATAATGAAATTTGTGCGTATAATCACGGCTTCTAGAAAACAAAGTTGACGTTTCCTCTGTGTCAAATTTGTTCAAATGAGTTTATGAATCCAATAGAAATCTAATAATAAGCAGCATTCATGTTTGCTGATTGCATGTAAGCATTTAGTTCAAAGTTACAGTTCTGCAAACATGGGTGTAGATAATAACTGTTACTGTGGGTTGAAAACACATTCGACATGCATAATGGGGAACAACCGAACATCCTTTGGTACAGCTCCTATGTGAAAGTTCTCCTACATCAAAGGCTAGTGATCTCAATATACTCACACTCTGACCCCTGACAACAACCACCACTCGTTATGGCAGTGACAACAAGGGATCAAGGGATCAACAACGGATCTTCCAAATTCAAGTGTCAAAGGTGACCAAACCATCACACACCACCGCTTCAGACTAGTGTTGACCAGCGGATATATTTTTGTCAGATGGTGCTCTAGAAGATGTTTAATTGGATGCTGCTGCCCTGGTCATCATATCATTTCACCCTGATGTCCTTAGTTCCTTTATGTTGCTAAATGGAGCCAAACAACAACCATGAATATATGAAACTGAAAACAATAATGAGGGGATAGCTGTGTTTTATTCTGTTCTGAGGTTGATTGAGTTCCTGGTATCAATGCAAAGACATTAGCTCATTGTGTCGGGTAGATGTTAAAACACTTTTGACCTCTGCTGTGGTTAAAAATGTTTTTACTCACTGCCCGTTTCCTTTTTTTTCTGTTTGACAAACTGCCAGCTGACTGAGATTTCTGCAGCATCTGTACACAAAGCTAATGGGTAATTGCGGACTGCGCGCACTCCAAGCAGGTCTCTCTCTTCACCGCAGTGTTTGAATTACTGTTTCTTTTTGTATTTGGCTGTTAAGAGACACCACTGAACCATTTATAAAACAGTGAGCTAAATATGAAGATACTGATATTACTCTGAGTTTACTCAAAGATAAAGATTACACTTTAAAAACAATAACAAACCTTACAATATATATTTTAATCAACACAACAAAAAAACATGTTTTCTTTTTTTTTTCTGAAGTGGAAGACACATTGCCAAATAATCAGATCCTTTGATCTTTTGCACATTTAGTGTCTCTCAGTAATAATACAGATAGTGATCAAATTAGATGTTATTGCATTGGTTATTTGCAAAGCACTGTTTATAGTCCTACTTCCTTTCACTGGATCTGGACGGAGCTAAAAGAAGTCTTAAGCTACAGACCAGTACACAGCAGACACTGTTTGGTTTGTTTGTGGACGCAAGTAATGTCAGGCAAATTGCTTATGCAAACTCATTGTGACATGCTACATTTACATTCACATTTACTTTAAATTAATTAACACTTGGTGTCTCTTTGATAGACTGGCGAGGAACAGGATACATTGAATAAATTTATTCAGTCATAATAATGTAACAAAACACAAACACGCTAGAAAATCCATTTTGTGTGAGGGAGTGATGGATATGATGGGATAAGGTGAAGTTGTGTTGACGCTTGAAATGATGTGCTGGGAGAACTGTGGGATATAACAATAGATATTTGCATACGACGGGTTTATTTATGCAGCGTTATGATAATGTAACACGTGCCATGTAGTGGCTGCTTGTGTTTGATGCATCTGAGTGTAGACTGCATTCATTTCTGGTGAGGAATCTCATGATTAATTTTTCCTGATTTTAAACAGAAAAAAATCATTATACTGGAGACAGTTGGAGAAAGATGAAAAGGTGCTAGCAAATAAACAACATACTTCAAGATCGCAGGAATGCAAAGATGAATAAGTAAAGAAATGGAAACGCAGTGTTACTGCTTTTCGAATTCTTGTTTTCATATTTTTTATAAAAGATAATGTTCCGTGGAGGCATATTGTGATTTTTTAAAATTAATTCAGTTTAAATAATACACTTGACCTTATCACATATTATGATGAATGGTTTGACAAGTCTTTCTTAAATAAACAGAATCCAAAATAGACACTTCAGAGCAGGCAGCCCAGGCTCCAAAGCACACCTCTCAAATAAACATGTTATTAATTATGTTGCTACTTAATTCTGGACATCAATATAATAAAAAGAGACATTAGATGACAAAGTGTGGCAATTAACCACGTGCATATGCAAACACGCACACACCTGTACACAAACAAATTAACAATAAGCGCAAAGTGAGCTCAGAGAGTAGGTTGTTTATATGAGGTCCATAAATCTTAATGGGATCAGTGCTAACAGAGCATAAGTGCGGATTAAATGAGAAACTGAGGGTTCGCGCTGTAGTTTCAAGCCCATGTTTTCATATGACAACAAACAAGGTTCCTCAGCCTTTTATTTGCTCTTACCATCTGTGTAGTAAACAGATCAAGAGAGTTCAGTCAGATTTTATATTCAGAGACAGCAGTGGAAAATAAAACAGTCATTACATTGTGTTTTTAATGCTCAGGTGCCATAAAGACATAAAGCACCTATTTACAATGTAGTTTCCTGGGAGTCCTCGCAATAGAATCAGCATCAAAATGAAGACAAAGGTGAGATCAGAAAAAAAAAATTGAAGAGATCCAGATGTACTTACAATGCGGTCTGGAGGAGGCGTACTTCGGATGAAGCATTTGATTTGTCCCTTCTCTCCGTGTAACGCTTGCTGTGTCTGTGTGCTGGAGATAGTAGGTGGCCCTGAAAAAGAAAATACAGATACTCTAAAAACTTAACTTTGAAGATGAGTCATAGAAATTGAGAAGATGAATAATTAAAATCATTTTCATTCTCAGGTCATATGACAACTCTGCTTAATCCAGATCTTGAGGCACATTATTTTGTAATCGCTCCCACGTTCCAGGCACCTGAAGAGTTCAGTAATTTGGAACTCCGGGGGGAAAATTGTATTGCGTAGCGGCACAAACATGCCTCATCCCTTGTTACAATCTGGCCAAGGACATGCCAGGATTGAATGAAGGGCATGAGTGGGGGCTCAGACCTCATTCTGGATCAAGAAATTGTTGATTTATGGCTGCTTTGATTCCTCCCACTGAGATAAACGTCGCTGGAGAGTGCTACAGCAGTTTCTATGGAGTGTAATCAGGACTACACAGATGGAAAGAGAAAAATGCCATTGTGGGGAGATAACACCTTTGTTGCGGTGTTTCACCTCAATCAATCTCCTGGCGGCAGGTTTGACCCCTGAACCGCTAGGTCAGAAAATAACTAAACATCAAGCCCCACATTCTATATATACCCAAGCCAAAAGACAGAAACAGAAATACAATTTATTCTGTTATATTCTTACACAGCTTTAGTCTAAAAGACGTTCTGTCGGCCTAATTCAGGTTTCTCCGATATCAAGTTTGATTAAATGGAATGTCTTCATCAGAGTTAAAGACTGTGTGATCAGTTCTCGCTCAATTAGCAGCAGTTGCAGGTATACTGACGTGGAGCCAGCATGTGTTAAACCTTGGTCAGGCTACAAGATCTCATCTGACAAGGGCAGCTCAGCCTAAACGACTGGTCTGCCTGCCATCTGGTCTGGAGGCTGTTCACACCAGGTGACAGCACTAATATGAACATGACCCAATTCAGTATTTTAAGTATATTTCCCCATTGGTCCTGAAGAGCTCCCTGTAAGTGAAATTATAGCAAAAGCAAAGCACAGAGGTTTACGCTAGTTCTATATTTTCACCTGTTTATAAAAATAAATGCTGGAGGGGGAATTTGCAAATGATCCAAGCATATTTTTCTATTATTCTTACGCTTTAATTGCAGTTTAATTACCTCCGCCAAGGACGTTATGTTTTCACAGTATTTTGTTTGTAAGCAAGATTGTGCAAAAACTACTCAACTTGGTGGAACAACAAATCCAGATCAGGAGCAGATCCAGGAATCTTTTCTCTCACTTTCTTTGACATTGCAAGATGTTTAATTTTTTTTTAATTTTCCTAGATTGAATTTAAGGGGACTATTGGATCTACTTTGTACAGCATTTTACCAAGAGCAGCAAAGACTTGATTATTTTTTATTGAATGAGAGTCCACACAAACAGCATTTTTTTCTGTTAATTTCCTTTTCTGTTTCATTGAATATGTAATTTATGATTCTTTTTCTCAGGCTGCTTGCATGTAACTAACTTTTGCAATACAATTTCTCTCTGCTCTCTTTTTTATTACTGTTCTCACCATCACTCTGAGATTTCTAATTTCGACTTTTCACAAAAGAGACGCCCAGCCAGACCCACCCAACATAATCAATGATATCTTGTGTTAAAAAAAGCCATGCAAGCTTTGAATCAGCAGCCTTGAGTTATCTTCACATTGCATGATTGCTGCATTCTGAACAATTTTATTAGATGCATCATGGATATAATTAAACACAGTAGTTCTGCTGTCTTCCGTTGGTTGGACAATCACCAGTGTTACATTCATAAGAAGAAAAGTTCTACACAAGCAGCCTTCCAGGATTAACGCACTATCATTGGCAATGTTAAGGACAGACTTCAATTTCAAACTTGCCCAACCCAATGGAGACTGTTATTTCTAGCATATTTACCATTCCCGAAACGTCAGCTCCAAACTAATTGACTCTGAGTCGAAGAAGTTGTTGGTGTGTCTATATTTTTGTTGAATGTATGAGCAAAAAGCTGAGTGTAAACATTGCAAATAGCAGCTTGTAGCTCAACAACCAACAAACAATGGCATATCATCCAAATTTGTGTTGAAAACAAATGTATCCGAATGTTTCAATAAGTTTGGTCTAATGATGATTTAACTAGCTACAAAAACTTCTTTTTTCTATTAATAAATAATTAATTTCGGCTAATAGAGCAACCAGGTAGAGTGTACCTAACGCACTGTTGTCATTGAGTGCACCAATCAGTTGATTAAAGCAGATACTCTAAAATATTGTCTTTGTTTGAGAACACTCCACACTCCCCTCTCACCGCCTGTAATTTCCTCAAATGAAACACAAAATAACAAAGGCAACGGGTCCATCTTATCCTTTATTTTGAGGTCTTTAAAAATGTGTAAAAATCAAACATTAAGCACGTCTCTTGTGATGTGGAAGGTTAAGAATGTGGATTTGAGGGGGTGGCAAGTGTGGCAGCTTCTTGATTAGAGCTACAACTCGCATCCCTGCCAACTTCCTTCAAACTCCCGCTCTCTGCCATCTCTCTGACGATACATAATTGCAGTTTATTACCTGTCTCTTATTAAAATGAATTAGCATTTTAATGAGACTTTGCCAGATGGTGCCTTGGTATGCTACTGGAGGAAGCTGGAAAGCTGCTACACGCTGCAGAGTGAATGCAGCAGACAATTTGAGTAAATAAACTGAAAGCTGTTTTCCTGCTTTCCCTGGTTTGCCAACATGGACTTACAGTATGAGTACAGCATGTACAGTGGGGACAAAAAAGTCTGACAGTGCCCTGTGTCTTTAGACTTTGTATTTGCTTCAGTTGTGTGGTGTGCGTGTAAAAACTTAGGAGATGAAATGTAAATATGTGAGTTTATATGAGCTCTGACTGTCACAGACAAAATGATCACTTGCATGACGGCTGAGAAGGGATGGTAGTGGTTGGGGAAGATCTATTTTATGGATTAGGGCCCCAAATGAAGAATATAATTAAATAGCTTTATCTCATTGGCTCAGTCTGGGTTGTGGGTATATGTGCTTGTGTGTTTGTATTTAAGTATGTGTGGGTCAGGGAGGTGGGTGGCTCTACAACATCAATGTTAGCAGCAGGGGAGCTAATCAAAATGTAGGTGCAATGTTTTGCTCATTCATTTGAGGAGGTGTTAACTCTGGAGTGGTCATTGCAGTCTGATTACACAATATCAGTGTGGGAGTCAAAAGGCCAGGGCTTACATTTCCTCTGTAAACGGAGGCATCCGCTTTGAACTAAAGCTCCACATTTCCTTGCTACCTCGACACAGCTCCTTTTTATTCATACATTTTCTTTGTGTGATAAAAGAGAGCACAACCGAGCCACAGGGCAGCTGGAACAGAAGAGAAATGTCTTGTATTGTCACTGGTGACCATATTTTCCTCTGGGGCATTTCCATGGTGCAGTGAACCTGCCTACGTGCTGAAGCTGCCTGTTGGAGTCAGTTCTTACTGTTAATTTGTTCGTCATTTTGTTAAATAAATTATACCAACTTCGAGATTTTATATATATTTAGATGTAAATACTGCATACTTGTTCAACCAGTATAATTTGAATGCAACATATGCTTGTATGTGGCTGATGATGATGGAATGTGAACTGTGATTGTGGATTATGTTTACAACTAGCGTGCTTAGCTTCTCACATATGCCACCATTATTGGCAATACCACTGTCATTACGATTGTCATTACTGCTATCTTCATCTCGGCTGCATCGATACTTTAATCTGTGCACCTCTTCATTTACTTTCTTTCGTATCAATGTTGTAAACATTGTTTGTGATCTTGATGATCGATGGACGGGTTGGCGACCAAGGCATTGGAGCATTGCTTCCATTGAGATTTTAAATATTAAAGTCCTGCATCCCAGTGGTAATATGTCAAGTAATCTATTACAGCTCAGGTAAAGCAACAGTTTTTTCTTATCTACAGTAATTTTTTTGTCTATTTATTATGTTTTACTGCAAGACTGGAGGAGGATCATTACGGCTCTTGTTTTCCTAATCTCCCTGCTTTTTTCATTTCAGCTACTATATCACATTAACAGTGATAGTGTCTGAGCAGATGAGGAGCTGTTATCACGACTCATTTTATCTCTTATCCCTAACTGGCGAACGGAGGCAGCCATTACGTTTAACTTCTGTAGAAACACACACTTTTACTACCTCGAATACTTCACCTCATTTGCCTGCTTGGGCTCAATCCAGACTGTATTTTCTCAACCTCGTTTTTTTCCTTGAATGGAGTGTGATCCACACAGTGTTCACTTTGTACTGTAAAGTACTATTCACAGTATTAACACAGTGCAGAGTAACAGGCCAGAAACACACATAATTTTGTTCTTTAGCCACATTTAGAGCGTCATCCAAATTTGCGACATGTCAAGACACATTGAGAACAATATTATTAGCTCTGGCGTTTTACTAGAATTCCTTTCCATTTCAGTGGTTGTGCCAATGAAGATTTTTCTACCACTGTCTGGTCAAATATTTTAAAAAGAACATTAGAGCAGTTTTACTAAAAGCTGTTGCACTCCAGTGATCAAACAAATCTAAACCTCCGAATGAACCTTTCTGCAAATCTACTTTTTTTTAAAAAACCAGTGCATTGCCTGTTGTAAAACCTGCCTGTTTTGAATGGGCTGTTTGTTTGGCCTGTGGTTATGTTGGTTGTAGATATTAGTCAAGACCCGCTGCTGGCTTCAGTCCACACAACCCTGAAGCCGCACCACGGCTACTGCAGAGCCGTTCATCTGTTTATTTGAAGTTTAGAGAAGCTTGACTCAAGTCGGTAGTACGTGGAACTAGAGAATCAATTTCATGTGCTGTTGTCGTGAACACGAGTCCTTGCCGCTGCAGCAAAGCTCTGATCGCCTGTTTAGTCAAAGTTCATAAATTTTGAATGTATCACGTGTCCTAATTGTATCAGATTCAACACTGCACTTCCTTGGGCCCTTAAAAATACATGTCAAGTGTGAAGTCAAGATATAAAAGCCACATACAGACAGAGAGAGATTTCCTGAAATAGCAGAGATGGTGAGAGAACATATTAAAGGTATTTTTTACACATAATAAATGAGAGTTCTAGTGACAGGTACACAATGTGAAGAAATTAGTTCAAAGCCATAAAGTCCAGATTAGAATTTAGTACGCTTAGATTTAACTGGTGAGATAAAATATGCTGCAATATGCCCCCCCTCCTCATTAATTTGTGCTGTTCTTTCTCATACAATGTCAGTGCCAGTTTAAAAAAGGCTGGAATGCTAATTGGCTATGTACATAAAGGCTGCCTAGAAAGAGGAACATCAGAAAAGAAAAAGATCTATAACTACGCAGTGCTTTGTGGGATATCGGGGGGATTCTCAAACCCTCCCTCTTCTTAATGTGGAAATGGACTTTTTCCTCTCCAGCTGTTCAAGCACTGGAATGTGTGTAATTATACATATTGCTTAGCCCAAAGACACACACACATACCCACAAACATAAATGGCTATACTGATGGATATATTAATTAATATGTATTGCATGGATATATGGTTCTTGAGCATATACAAGCTAAATCCTTCCAAGCACGTCAGATAACTTCTCTCAATTCCAACTTCTGCAGGACTGTGGGAAAAAACATGCATATATTTTGTATGCTATATAAATAATCTCACGCATGGACATGCACAGAAGCCCACTTCTTGCAGTACATGAAGTCACTTGACGGATGTGACGCACACGAAACGCAGAGATGCTTTGCATTCTGAAAATGTTTGACTAGAGTAGGCAATATGTATCCATTAGTGGCTTAAACACAAACTGCCTCCCCTGCTAGCTGTTTGATTATAATTAAATTACATTCTTCCCCAGGGAAAGCAGGAATCCTCGCGTCTATGCGGTACGCCACAGTGGGAGTCAGTGACACACAACGGCAGAGAGGAGGGAGACAGAGCAATGACAAATTATAAACACATGTAATTTAAATGATGGCATTAAGGAATCGGGGGGAATAACTGCAGGGAAAACAAACAGCAGCGAAACATTCAAATGTGCAGCAGACACTGTCGCATCATCAGCGCTCTGAATATGCACAGTGTCGCCTGAAATGTTACTGTATCATGGGTCGTCCTTGGGAAAAGCTCACTCATCCGTTATGCTAGTTATTCACTGTCAGAATCAATCGAGTCCTGCTGACTCTCACTGATGTTGGGCCTACAGGCTGGTTAAAGAGCGCTCACACACTTATTCTGTAGTTGAGACAGCGGCACAGGACGGTCCACGAACCCCCCCCCCCCCAACCGCAGTGTTTGCACTTTCACAAGCCTGGCAATCTGATTCGCCTCAAAGACAGAGTACGAAATGACTCAGGACTCCTCATGTGGTTTGAAAAAAAAAAGATGAATTTCAATTATTCAGAAGGCTAAAAAGAAAGGAGGCTTCTGAATGTCAAATACCAATCCGGGCAGGGAAGTGCAAGATGCGAAAAAGAAGAAGAGGAATAAACAAATAAAAACACTACAAGTCATCCAGAACCTGCTTGAATGAAGTCCGCAGAGACTAAATAAACATGCCATTTCTGCATTCTTGTATGTCTGCCAGAGTTGTGTGGTGTTGTAATCTTTATTAAAACAATCCATCTTCATTCTCTCGTGAAATCTTTTTTGAACACAACACAATCTCCATAGTTACATGAGCAGAGAGGGGATGCATCAAAATAAACTGGTGCGCTGGATATAATGTATTCTGTTTGCACATTAAGGCTGAACAGTGGATGCCAGTATGGCTTTCCATCCAGAGAATGGGAGACAATAGAATTAGTCATGATTTTGCCTCCTGCCTCTTCCGCCTCGAATTTTAACTGAGATGGAGGGAGCTGATTGCGGTTCACAGAAAGCCACGGTTCTGATCTTGCGCTGGAGGGGATGCTGGTATCCCATTCTCTCTGATATTCAAAGCTAATGTCTGGATTTTGAAAAGAAAATCTTTACACACACGTTTTCTCGCTACTTGGTGTATCATCATCCCCAAATCAGCATCAGCGTAGCTTTCAGGCAGAGCCTTTTGTTGGCTTTCAAAACGTACAATGATACACTGTCAGCTTTTTATCTCAGCATCTTAAAGTCCTCCCTGCTTTTTTTCCACCCTGCTTTGGCCCATGCTTCTCTCAGATGGACACGGGGGAAAATAAGAGACATGTAAATCCCACGGCTAAGAACCTCTGCCACACCAAAGCATCGCTCCCTGAATATCAAGCACTGATAATGAAGTCATTTGTTTGAGAGTTGCCAGGTCTCCCACCAAGGCGGGTATTCATTAGTCACACAGCGCCTCAGAAAACGGCAGCTTCCCTGTTACTCATGCAGAATATAATTAGCATTGAAGCACATTTCACCTATTTAAGAATTGTGTGACCATATCTCGAAAAGTCTATATTTGTTGCACTTCCCAGTTAAAGGCTTCAAAGTGATAACAGCTTTTACCTTTGTCAGCAAATCTTTTTTTTTAAAGAACACTATGTGCCACATCGTTGTTCTCTGTGTTTGTGTGTCTGTCGTGTGGGATAAATTGTGTGTGTACTTGCCTGGTAAAATCAACCATGTCTCCAAGAAACTGGTTTAATCGAAAAAAAAGTATCCATGAGTGAAATAAAGCAGCATATTCTCTCGGAAGTTTCAGAGGTTGAAGAGTTTTGTAAACCACGGAGGAAGCAGAAAACTGACTCCTGTGACAAATTGCTTTCTTCTAGCCACCGCTGACCCCCAGACCTCGGGATTCACACTTGTATGTGTACACACTTGACAACTTTGTGGATGTGCGCCTATGTGAAAGTCATATCAATAATACAGCTTACCATTGACAGTGAGTGAGACCTCCTTCTCCCCCACTCCGACACGTGGGACCACGGCGCGGCAAACATATTTCCCAGCATCCTCCTGCCTCACGGATTTCAGTGTCAGGAGGTTCTCATTGCTAAGAACCTGCGGCGAGATAAAAAAAAAAGAAATTCAAAGATCATCAAATGCAATGACAGAAAATGCACCTTTGCATGAGATAGCAACAAGGAAGGGCTATGGGGAAAAAATGGAGGTAGCACATAGACCATTTAATACCTTAAAGGGCACCTCTGCTCAATTATTAAAATCCAATTTAGGGTCTGAGCTCAGGAGAGTGAAGAGGTTGGCTTTGGCCTTTTGTGTTGACAGAAGCAAAGGTGGAATAAGTTTGAATTTGTGGATCAAATCAACAGATCTCATGAGGCAAGGTTGCCAAGGGGCTCGGACTATAATGGCTTCAAAATCTTTAATGGACAATTCAAAAGAAACATGGCGATGACATAAAATAACTACTCAGAGGACCTTGTATGTAGTAGGCATATGACGTAAAGGTGTTGGAATCATCTCAAAAAGAAGTTTTATCTGAAAGAAGTAGCTTTTGATTTTTTGTGCACCACAGAAATCAGTGTACTCACCACACCAGAGCCCCTCTTCATCCACACTATGGTAAGGGAGGGATTGCCCGTCCATGCACAGTTGAACACGGCATCAGATCCCAGGTCCACTTGCAAAGACTGAGGCTCTGCAGCCATGCGAGGGCCAACTGTTGAAACAAACATCGTTAACTGTCTATGACTCACCCATAATGCATCATCAGCTGTGATGGCACTAGTTTTTGGAGCTCAGTGTGAAAATGTTTAAAAAACAGTGCAAAGAAATCTCAAATCATTCGTTCTCACATTGCTGGCATTACTGAAAAGCATGCAGCGCACGCTTAAGGAGCCACTCACAGTAAACATCAACGTTGCGGCAGATGTTGGTAGTGCCAAGAGGGTTGGTAACCTCACAGGAGACTGGCTCCGTAAAGAAGGAGTGGTCCACAATAACCTCGTACGTGTCTCCAGAGACCTCCTTGATTATACTTCCTCCTTTGGCCCACCTGGAGTGAGGATTAGGAGGAAGGGAGGGGAGAGACAGGAAGAAATGGGAGGGAGTGAAGGAGAAGGGGGAAAAGGCATTAAGACAGGTTTTCACACCATCTTATGTCAATAGCTCTCTTTTGTGTGAATAAATCATCATTCTAGGGCAAGCTTTCTGTGCTGGCTTCAGCATATTTTTGTGGCAGCCTTCCATGCTGTGACAAGCTCCCCGGCGATTCGGAGCAGACAGCACGTTCCTCATTACGCCAGGCAAAGAGTGCAACACAGGGTGCCAGCTAAGAAAAACAAATCACAGAATGACAAATGGGTAGCGGCTCCACCTTTGAAGACGGTGGTTGACACATACTGTATTATACACAACAGCTGATGTTAATAAACTGACACGGGATCACATAACCAACATCTGTTTGTGTTTGTGAATGATGGCTTCGGTGACGGGGATACAGACACTCCCCGAGTGTTTCGACTGCACTTTTATGATGTCACGGGCAGCGGCGTCTTGCTCTGTGTGATGTGAATGGCTCTGCGCTGTTTCAACAGACAAGGCCCATTTATAAAAGTGAAGTGGAGGCATCTGTGGATGTCTCGGATTTCTTTGGAAATTTTAGACAGTGCTGTGGGATCTACAACGCATCATGCATCTAAACGCTGCCGTCCCCCACAATGGAGTCGTTGCTGCATGTTGATGTGGCAAATGAAAACAATGACAACCGGTGCCCGTCTGCGTTTTATATTCCTGCCAGTACTGAGAGCAGTTTTAGCGGGATAGGGAACTCATTTGTTTTCCATGACTAAGCTGCCCCATGCTTGACTGAAATGCTATCATTTAAATGAGAACAGATTACCTCGTTCACTCAGTAAGTGAAGTGAAGCAGAATTCTAATTGGGCTTCATGGGAATTTTTTGGAGCTTTTTTCCCCGCTAGCAGTAGATTCTCTCAGAGTTGCGCTCTTGTGTGACAAGGACACAGCTGAGAGCTCCGCAACACGTGTTTCCGAAAGTCTTTCGATTAGGGCAGATGGGTGTTTTCGGCCATTTCTGATCCAGTAGCAGTAATACAAATAAATATGTCTATATGAGTACAAACAAATTGTTTCCAGTAGCAGAACAACCTCCAAATACTAGCACACAAGATTCAAATGGTAGCTACATATGGAAAGATTAAAAATGTGAATGATGATGACTGTTAATGTTCATGGCAGGGTGTGAAAATGAATATCAATATGAATGTCTCAGCTGCTGTATATTTGACAATGACGATAAAGATGAGGATGATATTAATTATGCTGGTGACGCTTGTCATCATAGTGAAGACGATAATGATGATGATTACGATGATGACAACATTGATAACGATGATGAGGTTGAGGATTAGAATGTTGATGAGAAAGTTACAGATAAGAGTTGTGAAAAAAACAATCATATGCCTCCTCAAGGTCCATTTAGCTGCCATCCTGGAGCTTTCAGTCACTTCAAAGAGACTCACCTCAGGAAATATAGAGTGGGGGAAGACACACAGCAAAGAGCAGGGTTGGAATCGAACCTGTGGCCGCTGCAGGGCGAGTACAGCCTCTGCATGCCCCGATGGAGAAGTCTTTTATTCGCTTGACCATCACGAGGATAACAGTAATACTGGTGATACTTTCTGACAACTCCACAAGTATCAAAATGTCACTTGTTTCCACCTGCAACTGTCTATCTCATACTGTAAGAATTGTAAGGTGGTAAGCACAGATGTTCGGGCAGCCGGCTGCTCCCGATTGGAGGATGCCGCAGCCAGGTTTGGATCCCCTGACAGTGTTAGAGAGACAGAATGCCATCGTACACAGGGACCCCCAGAGTTCTGTTAATGTGCTGGGTCTTGTCCAAGACTCATGTCTAAACATAGCCCGCCCAAGGTAACACAAACACCTGCATTCCCTTTTGGGAGGTTAAAAGGGTCAGAGCAAAGCTTACTCAATAGCTGACTCACTTTACAATGCTGTATCTTATTCAGTGATTTGATTCAGGGTGTGAATCCTGCACATTCGCACACTCTGAGTGCATGGTGTGTGTTTCTGTGTGTCCCTGCGTGCGTAAGCTAACACTGTTATACAGATAAACAGGTCCACTGTTAATGGAAGCAGAGGATGAGGGAGACGTGGTGGGAGGGGGGGGGGGGGTAGTTTTGTATTTGCAGAATGTGATTAAGGCAATAAAACAGTAACAATTAAATTAGACAAGTATCTGTGCCATCAGCAACAAGACCCACAGTAAATCAGGCCCTACAGTTATTATCAGCATGGTTAAGCACAGCACAGTGTGGTTCCATTCCCCCTAACGTGCACACTCAAAGTGATGACTAATGAATTCTCAGTGGAATATAAAATAAATATGCAGGTTTATGCAGTATTAGCATGTAGTGGCTTAGGCGTGGAGTTAAATTACAGCGCTTATTTTATGATCAGTGAAAGTATTAAAACATATGAATGAATTTAATGTTATACTCTATTTATCTGAAAACAAAAAGTATTGTCCGGTAACATGCGGACATTAACTCTGAAAACATATGGATAGCCCAAAAAAGCAGGGAAAGTTGGGAATAACTTTTAAAAGGCACGAATAAAACTAAAAAAATACTCAGGGGTATGCTGGTGACTTATTTAATACCCAAAGCATTTGTCATAACTTCCCAGGGATAGGCTGAACTTTTTGGTGATATTGCAAACTGAGGTGCCAACTTTTCAGGCTGTTTTACAACTTGCTTGATTTGTATGTTTGCAGGAATGTGCCCATTTATCTACAATGTATTACTTATGCTGTGAATTACTGAAGCAAAACATTTCAGGAGTTGGGTCTGGATACTAACACTTTTTAACAGTATAAAGTAACAGTCCTTTGTTTCATTCATTTTAATCATTGCAGTCAATCAATGCACTGCAGTTTGGCTGCAGCTAATGTAGGCATAATGAATGTGGTTAGGGAAAAGTAGGGGTGCCCGAAAAGAGATGGTGGCTTCAAGCAAAATGTTTCAATTAGCTAAATCTAAGAACATAAAGAACGAAGCTATGGCAGTCGCAGTGACAGTTAAAAGCAGAGAAACAATTTAACAGAAGCACATCTCACAATATGCTTGTGTGTGTTTGCGTTTGTGTGTAAACGTGTGTCTGGAGAAACCTACCGTAATGGAAACTGTCCATCTATGGACAGTGTAGTAATAACTACAGAGTGTTCATGTATTGATGCAGTAATAATGATCTGAGTGCTTATGTGATAATGTAGAAAATAAAATGAGCACATATGTGATAATGTAGTAATATCTACCA